TAGAATACGAAAACATTGGTGAATGCCACAAATTCTCCTAAATCACTCGTACGCACAACTTAAGAACAAATCTGTGCGTACGAACGGTTTTTGCACGAGGCCCATTGTTCTCCTTCTATACAGAAAAGACCGACTCAAACCAGGAAGGTTTTTGTTTTCAACAGAAAAATCCTTTAAATTCTCAAAAAATCTGTTAGAGGTTATTTGTTGCAAAACATTGTTTTTTCTGTTTTTTGTTTTCTGATTTCTATTAGTTTTATTATTTGTTGTTATCTGTTTTTATTGTCTGAAGGGACAGATGTAAAATTAGCCCAATGCATCAAATGTTTTTATGTTTATGTTTTAATTGCACAGTGTCTTGATTGAATGAATCCTGTAAGGCAACACACGAGGGTTCATTATGTGTGTTTTCTCCTGGTGCGTTGCAGGAGGTGTCGAGGAAACTGGAGCGAGCGGCGAATAAAACCAGGAAGTGGAAAGACAAAGTGGCCCAACATGAGGGTCTGGTGCGCCTCATCCAGCCAGGTGGGAGGGCTTTATCAGGATATTTTAGTTCTTAATTCTACCGTCATGTAGCTGCAGGTGTTTGTTCAGTAACATCCAGACTTTTAGGTGTGTTTTAGTCAAGATATGATGCTGTTTTTATAAACTGCATTAACTTAGACTTGCAGTAAGTGCATTTTAATTTCTACACTGATTTTTTAAATTTCTTTGTGTTGAAACTTGTGTCTCTTTTTATTCAGGTCATAAAGGCCCCCAGAGGATCACTAACTGGGGTCCGGCGGCGTTCACAGACATGGAGCTGGAGCTGAGGAAGAAATCCTGGCAGGAGAGTAAAAGTCAGGGAGCTCAAACTCAGTGAGACACAAACATGCTCTGCTGTGTCTCAGYTCATTCCTCTTCTTCACTCTGTGAGTTTTAACCAGAAGAAGTCAGTTAAAAATCCAGAAACCATTTTTTTTACAACACGACCTGGTAAACTCTGTACACTGTGAAGTAAACAGCTAGATTCTGACTGTAACAAAAAAAATGTCGTTCATTTTATTTGAGTTATTTTAAACAAACTGTGATTAGAGTTCACTGTTAAATAATCTTTTAGACAAAGTGGATTTGCTTGAAAAATAAATAAAACTTCTTAAAGGTTGTCAAAGTTTCGTTTTTATGAAAATGATTTCAAACAGAATTAACCTCCTTATGATATAAATTAAAAATGGCTGGATTTTTGACAAAAAAAAGTTATGTTCATTTTTTATTGATCAAATCAAGAACTAGAACTCACTGCAATAATCTTATTTATTTTGGGCAAGATGGAAAAGTTTCAGCTCTGATCATCAAAAAGTTTTTGTTTAATTTCTGTTAAAAATATAACTCTAAGCAGGGAGTCAAACCTGTGACTTTCTGGCCACAAGTCAGCTGCTTTACCACTGCACCACAGCCACCCTGACTGTATGAAGAACCAGTCAGTTATTGATTTGATCTGTGGAGTCAAACTTTGTGCATCTCTCGCTGCTCCAGCAGAGGTCAGCGTGCAAAAAGGGTTGGATTCAAAAGAAATGAAGCAGAAGTGAAACACTGAATCCAAAGAGAATAAAACAAATCACTGRCTGAGCAAACCTTCAGTTTGTTTTCTGAACGTTTGTGTGTCACCGCTAGTCTTCCTCATTTCACCTGGGTTTATCTTTAATGGGAAAAATGGTGAATGGACTGAACTTATACAGCACTTGCAGCTTCTTTTTTGCTAACTCCCTCCCTTCAGACCCCAAAGCTCTTTACACTTCAGTCATTCACACACTGATGATGGTAAGCTACATTGTAGCCACAGCTGCCCTGGGGCACACTGACAGGGGCGGGGCTGCCATGCACCGGCGCCACCCTCTGACCACCATCAGTGGGCAAGGCAGGTGAAGTGTCTTGCCCAGGACGACTGGAACGGGGGATCGAGCCGACGACCTTCCGGTTACGGGACGACTCCCCTAACCACTCCACCACAGCCACCCGTTTTTAACGGGAAAAATCTAACAAAGTTTGAGCGACAGAGGGATTTTAATTCTTTAAAATGACCATAAAATATAGAAAATTATATTTTACACTAATCTAAATCTTTACTTACTTTACAAAAAGTAAGGAAATTTGTGTTTGGTCGGTTATTTCTTTCCATACTTCTTGGCAACAAATCTTAAAAGGTTGGAAATCCTAGTAATGTACCTTTATAATGGTGCCACATTTGTAAGGAACATGCATTTGAGTGATGAGCAGCAGAGCTGAGCATGTGGGTTGTGTGCATGAAAGGTTAGTCAAATCCTCTCTGCCAAACATTATTTTGTTTTTTTTTTCATTCTTTTCTCTTTGTTATTAGTTGATTCATTTGAAATGTTGCTGCTAATCATCTTTATGTCCAAACGACTGCAACCTCCATCTTGTTTAAAGGAGACATCATGCTTTTAAATCATTCAGTTGAGGTCTATAGAAAGTGCAGCTGCAATGCTTCGGTCTGAATTCCTCCTTATTGTTGCTCCACAAGCCCCCCCTATCACCCCTTTTTCTGGGGTGCGTCTCAGATCAACTCGTTTCGATGCTGTGTCTTTAAGTCAAAACGAGACAATTCTCGCCCCCCACCAGTTTCCAGAGTAGTCCATTCTAGTTAGAGGCATTTATGACTATATAGCTGCGCATAAACTTTTTATTTACAAGTGAATTAAAAGATGTCAACAAGAGAAGACTTGTCCGTCCAGCCTTACAAATACTGTGATGTAATCATAGAGAAAACTGAACGAGTTGAAAATATGACACAAACAGAATATAATGATATCTACGCAGCACCAGGAGAAACTAAATTCAGCTTTTCTGCTCTCCTAGAGACTCCAAGTAGCCTACAACAAAGCTAAAACATTGGATTTTGCTCGATATGTCCTTTTTAAATGGAAAACACTGCGTCACAACTTTCTGTCATCTCTTCAGCTCTGTTTTGTTTTGATCCAAAAGATTCATTGAATTGACTAAAAAGGCAGATCATCTGACTTTCTGCACTAATCTGATCCTGGTGCTGACTTCCACCTGATAACACCGACGTCACGACAGCAACTCCAACGACTGGGTTGAACTTGGTGACAGCTTGTTGACTTCAGTGGACGTGCAGCGGCGAGGCTCTGTCAAAACAACTGCAGCTCTGCAACAACAGGCTTCTGTTCCWCCGCCTCACCTACAGGAGCACTGCAGCCGAGTGGAGCTGTGGGCGCCGGGTCTGTTGCACGGCGAGAGCTGGTGCAGAAACACCCCCCCCGACTGTGTCACTCAGACCTGGGTGCAAAACCAGAAGAGTTCAGGCTGAGTTCAGAGTTGACACGAGCAGAGAGAGATAAGAGCCTGCATTCATGCTGCTGGTCTGACAGCGTGCAGGTTCCTGATAGGATCAGATAGAGACAAACCTTTGAGCTAACCATGGACTTTACTGGGATGAAAAGATTTTATGGACCTCTTTGTCTGCTTGATTTACGGCTCAACTTGGGGGGAAAAAACAGAAAGTTTTTATTGCAGTTTGTTAGGAATTTTGTCCCGCAGTTTGATAAACAGATTTGCTGTTCGCATTTTCTTCTTTTAAGAGTTATTTATGTCCCAGAAGTATAAAAAAATATGCCCCCCTCCCTCACTCCACATAGCTATTCTCAGAATTGAGAGTCTCATCTCCGTGGCTAAGTTGCACAAGCCCTCAGCATTCCAAATGTCTATCTCCGTCTCCCTCCTGCCCCATGTGTTCGAAACGCACCTGGATGCCCGTGACCAATTCATCAGCTTCCTGTCCAAAACAACATCCCCATCCAACAAACTCCAGCAGATGCCTGTTTTTCCTCTAGATTACACGGCCCTCCGRTGTGGGTTTTCAGCGTTTCAGGACTCAGTTTTAGCTGCGAAAGAAAACGTGACTCCCAACTGTTCTGAGGAAACCCTCATAGTGACGACTCAAAGGTTTTCACGGAGCTTCTCCCTTCACGGCTGAGCGAACCATGTTTGGCTTCTCATCTGCAGTGGGGCTGATTCATGCTTCGGTGCAAAGCTGGCAGCTGACATCATCCTCACTTCTGAGGTGGGACTCCACGACTTGGTTGAAGGAGAAAAATGGTGAAAAAGCTGAATCTGAATTTTTAAAGTTAAAATGATCAGAAAACAAGCTGAAACTAACAGGGCTAAACCGTGCTTTAAAGGTGAAAGTAGCAAAAGAGAAGCTGAATTCTGAAAAGATAACAGTAGCTACAAGCTAAAAGCTCACAAAACAGTGGGTGAGAGATAAAACTAGCAATAGTAGCTGAATGCAAATTTTATAGCAGCAACAGCTAAAGTACAGAACATTAGCCAAATGCTAAAATGAGAAAAACATGAGCTAAAGCTAAATTAGCACTAAAGCAACCGAATGCTACAATGATCAGAACAGTAGGTAAAAGCTAAAACTAGCAGAACAGTGTCTGCATGCTAAAATTAGCAAGAGTAGCTGAATGCTAAAATTAAAGCAACACTAGCTAAAGCAGTAGACAAATGCTAAAATAAGCAAAACAGCAAATAAAAGCTAAACTTAACACTAAATTAACTGAAATCTACAATGATCAGAACAGTAGGTAAAAGCTAAAACTAGCGGAACAGGGTCTGTAAGCTAAAATTAGCAAGAGTAGCTGAATGCTAAAATTTCAGGAGCAATAGCTAAAGCAGTAGAAAGGCTAAAAGGAGCAAAACAGCAGGTAAAAGCTAAAATTAGCACCAAAGCTAAAACTAGCAGAATGGTGTTTGTATGCTAAAACTATCAAGAGTAGCTAAAATTATAGGAGCAATAACTAAGAGGTAGAACATTATTCAAATGCTAAAATAAATAAAAAAACAGTAGCTAAAAGCTAAAATTAGCACTAAATAAAGTAGCTGAAAGTTGGAATGATAAAAAAGTAGGAAAAAAACTAGCAGAACAGCTAAAATTATCAGTTTCTGTTGCTGAAAGAGAACAAAGGATTTTAAATCATCTCAATGAGTTTTTATGAGAAAAACACAAATGAACTTTAATATTTCAAAAAGTTACAAATAAAAAGTCATATTTTCGCCATTTTTGATGTTTTTAGAGTCCCAAAAAACATAAATGTCAAAACAACTTTGTTCTCACAARAAACCTGTATTTGTCTCTACCGCAGGGCTAATCAGCCTATTTTGCCAGTTCTCTCCATAAAGAAACCTTTTCATTTTATTTTATGTTTTTAAACCATGGTGGTAACTGCCCTGAAAGAGCAGCGGGTCCAAAACAAGCAGATACGTGCAGCCTGACGTGTCTGAACTGCTTTTGATCGGTCTCTTTATGTGAGAGGAGCTTTCAGCCGTCCAAGACAAATCACTGAACCTCGAGGAAGAAAGCAGCCAAGTAACACAAGATTACTATTATACTGAAACGCATGTAAAACAGCTCTGACCTTCAGGCTGATGGAAGCTTTCATCAGTAATTTGCCATCAAAGTCAAAATGAACCACAGGAGCGCTGTTGTACTCACGTCATGGTTATGTAAGAGTGATTTTTTTTCATCCCCTCATACATTTATTCATCTGCTAATTTACATCAATCCTGTTTGATCCTCTCAGATGAATACAGCTTTAGGAAATTACTGATTGGATCGAACGTTTGTTAGGAAAACAGTGTTTCCATCACCAGGGATAAAATAATTCCGATCATGCCATTCCACTCAGCCCTGCTGCAGAACATCCGCTCCATCCTTCTGGTTGCGGGTTTAATCTCCGTGCCCCGAGCAAATATGCCYAGCATGGAGGGAATTAGCAGGAGGTTTTGCCCAGATGTTTGCACGGAGCAGCTTCACACCTGCTGCCAGAAAGAAGCAGCTGCATGGATGTAGTGTGTGTGGGACACCACATCAGATCTTCATCTGACCTCAGRCTTCCTCTGAGTCAGGCCTAAAAAKGTCACGGAGGAAATGTGACCCCCACGGTCAGGATTGTGTTGATTGTAGGAGAGGAAAAAAACAAAAGGCCAGAAAACCGACACAAAACCTTAAAGTTCCAACATTTAGGAATGTGACTTTCTGATCACACCATCTGTCATGTTTTGAGTCATCCTGAGCTCTGGAGAGAAGGTTCACAGGAATTCAATAAGATGCACAAGTGTCAAAGTTTCTGAGACACATGAGACAAAAACAGATCTTTCTGTCTTCAGTCACATCAGTTGTTTTTTATATATTTAATATTGTGGAAAGGTACCAACAAATTTATTATAATAGGATGCACAATATATTGATATTAACACTGGCATCGGCTGATATTGCTCAATTTTTAGAATATCAGTATCGGTCTGATAAGTTAAACTGGGCCAATATTAACGTCCGAAATTGATTTCCCACTTTTTATCTTTGTGTTTCTGTTTTGGGAAGGAGATGATTGGTTGAGCGACATCTGTTTGATCATGATAGTGATAKTGATGCTGCGTGATAACTGAAGTAGGAGCCATGTCAGAGGTCTGGTCGTTTATTTACGGCATCAAAAAGACCCAAATGTTTTTGTGAGTGTATGTCTACAAATAATTTGCGTGTTTGTGTAATATCAGTAAATATTGGTTATCAGCTATAACAGCAATAATTATATCGAATATCAATATCGGCTGAAATTTTCATATTGGTGCATCCCTAATTAAAATAATAATAATAAAATTTATTTTATTATAAACCATTATCAGTAC